CTCAACAACATTATGCAGATGACACAACCTTCCTTGTTGAAACTGAAGATCACCTGAAATGCTTGCTGCAGAAGGTCAAGGACTGTAGTCTTCAATGTGGATTGAAGCTCAACATCAAGAAGATAAAGGTTCTCACCACTGGGACAATTGGCAGCGCCATGATAGGTGGAGAAGAGATTGAGCTTGCTCAGCTCCACAATCAACACTCTTTTTTAAAATTGATATTTAAATGAAAGTTTATAAAGAACTTGGGTTTCAACTCGTTCATTGTTGCACATTTTCCTCCCTGCCTTCACTCCTCCCCCGCCCCCAATCAAAACTCTTAACACCAGCAGTCAGGAAATCAAAAGACAAATTGCATTGGGAAAATCTGCTGTTAGGGACCTCTCCAGAGTGTTGAAGAACAAAAAGGTCAGTCTAGAAACTAAGGTGTGCCTAATCTAGGTCATGTTCTTTGCAATTACTTGCTATACATCAGAGAGCTATACAATGACTAAGGTAGACAGAAGTCGAATTGATACCTTTGAACTGTGGTGCTGGAGAAGAGTCTTGAACATGTATGCCATGGATTTCCAAGAAAACAAATATGTCAGTCTTGGAGAGGATGAATCCAAGTTTCTCCTTGGAGGCTAGGATTTTGATGCTCTTTCTCTGATACTTTGGCCATGTGGCCAGGAGAGACAGGTCTTTGTAGAAGGATATCACGCTTAGAAGGGTGGAAGGACAGCACAGGAGAGGAAGACCCCAGATGAGATGTATTGATACAGTGACTGGGGCAATGGGGGTTGGTGTCTTAGAATTGGTGAGACTGGCTCAAGACAGGGAAAGGTTCAGAGCTGCTGTACATAGGGTCGCAGGCAACTTGACAACACATAACAACAACAACAACAATTCACAAGCAGGGGAAAATTTTCCATTTATTTGGGTCTTTTATTATTTCTGGCAGAAGTGTTGAATGGATTGTAAAATTGTGGTACATTCACATGATGGAATACTACCAAGCACTCAGGAGCAACAATTTCAAAAACTACTATATAACTTGAGAGAGACTGGAGAGCACCGATGCTGAGTAAATTAACTCAGTCTCATAATGATAAACAATGTATATGATTTTTAAAAGATTTGTAAAAATAGAAGGATAACTAGTAAAACATGCATGAGAATCCAAGGGAGGAAGGGCTGGGAGCAGAGCGATGAGGATTGGCAGGGGGGAAATCATAGGGTCACACAATTAGGTGGGTGTAGGGGGGCGGTAATGAAAATGGTAAAGGTCTGGTCGGGATCTGGAAAGATGGGGTGATGGTGGACATAGTTCAATGGTAATTAATTTTATAAAATCCAATGAGTGGGTATGATTGTATGAAACACAATGTGAGAGGATAGTTTGAAACACAATGTATATGAAGTCGTTATGCAAATCAATGTAAAATAAAAATTTAAAAAACACAACTGAAAATAGGGTAATTGTACCAGTTTAAACACAACTGAAAGGCGAGTGATTGTACCAGAGTAAAGACTAAGATGAGCCTGATTCAAGCCATGGTCTTTCTGGTCACCTGCCATGCATCTGAGAGCTGACAATGAATACAGATGACAGAAGTTAAATCGATGCCTTTGAGTTGTAGTGTTGAACAAAGTTACTAACTATGCCATAGACTTCCAAAAGAACAAGCAAGTATGTCCTCTAAAAAGTACAACAAGGGTGCTCCTTAGAGGCAAGGATGGTGAAATTTTATCCCGTATACTTTGGGCATGTTGTTAGGAGAGGTCAGTCCTTATAAAAAGGTACCATGCCTTGAATGGTAGAGAGGGTCAGTGAAAGAGGGAAACTCTGAAGACACAGACACAGTGATTGTAACAATAGGCTTGAACATAGCACAGACGGTGAGCACGGCACAGGATAGGGCAAGGTTCATATCCATAATTCATAAGGTCGCTATGAGTTGTAGTCAACCTCATGGCACCTAACAACACATCAACACATACATGGATCTCCAGTGATCAGCTTAAGTGAACAGAAGTGGGGTACACAAAAGATTAAGTGGAGGGTGTTCTTGTTATGTGCCATCAAGTCGACGACACCCTGTACCCTGCTCTATCTTGAGCCAATGTCACTGTCTCTGACACATCTATCCCCATTACACCAGTTACTGTGTCAATCCATCTCATCAGGGTCTTCCTCTCCTGTGATGTCCCTCCACCCTTCCAAGTATGATATACTTCTCCAAGGAATATGTCCCTCTTGGCAACAAGCCCAAAGTATGTAAGCCTCAAAAATCCTTGCCTCCAAGGAGGAGTGTGGTTTTACCCTCTCCAAGACATATTTATTTGTTCTCTGGGCAGTTCATGGTATGTTCAGTACTCTTCTCCAGTACCACAGCTCAAAGGCATCAATTCTTTTTGTTCCATCGTTGGTTATTGTCCAGCTCTCTGATGCAAAGCAAACAATTGCAAAGACCATGGCCCAGATTAGGTGCACCTTAGTCTCCAGACTGACATTGTCCGAGGGGGCAGTCAAAATTAGCGTTCCTGAAGAGGTATCCTACAAGCATAGCTTGAGCAATGGGAAGCAACTCAGTGGATGAATTCAGATGAATAAAGGTGCCAAGTGCAGGGATGCTCACCTAGGCCCAGGTGCCTAAGTGAGCAGGGGTCAGGATCTCCAGTGGCAACAATCCTAACTAGATCCACTGCACCATGGGCCTCTCTATCCACAGGGAGGCTGAGCCAGTGTGTCAGTTCCCCATTTACTGGACACAGACACCAGTCCTCAAAGGGACTTCTCACAGAAGCAACATCTTCAAGTGCCTGTGGACGCTCTCCAGTAGTTTTATTCTGTGCACATGGGATGTTGCTCTGTTGGTGCAAGTTTATATATACTAATGCAGTTTCCATGGAAATGAAAATCACTGGTATTGACACAATTTATTATCAGTGAAACAAAGTTAGACAACATCAACCTTTTGCTTTTGCTACTCCTAATCTCTCTTCCTGGGCCAAGAGGGAAATAGTTTTATATAAAGCAGGGCTTCTCAACTTTGGTACTAATAACACCTTGTGTCAGATAATTTTTTGTGTTAGGAGGCAATCTTTTGTATTATAACATATGTTTTGCAGCATTTGTTGAGTTCTACCACTAGATACCAGTGACACCATTACCCCTCAGCCAAATGCACTGCTATTGAGTCAATTTCAACTCAGGGAGACTCCCTATTGGGTTTTTCAGACTACGTATCATTATAGGAGGAGATTGTCCAGTTTTCTCTCAATGAGCTGCTGGTAGACTCTAATTGGAGAGCTCTCATCTAGCAACTTACCATTTATGCATTAAGCAACCAGAGCTCCTTTTTCTCACTCAGTGGAGACAGTAAGACTTGACCCAGCTATTCCATTATTTGGAATATACCCTGAGAAAATGAGAATGGAGGCACAATGGAAACTTGTACATCAATGTTCATAGCAGCATTAGTCACCATGGCAAGAACATGGAAACAGCCCAAATGTCCAATCACAAACGAATGGACTGAGAAATTATGGTACATTCACACAGTGGAATACTACACAGCACACAGAAGCAATGATTTTGTAAATTATTACCTAACTTGGGAAGGACTGGAGAGCATTATGCTGTGTGAACTAACTCAGTCCCACAAGGACAAATATTGTATAAAACCATTATTGTAGAATGAATATGAGGATCCAAGGAATGGGGAGGATGGAAGCAGAGAGATGAGGATGTGCAGGGGGCAGAGACAATTAATCACGAAGTTGTACAATTTGATGGGGGGGGGGTGAGGGAAATTGGAAGAATCTGTTCTGGAAAACAATGTATTAGAATCGTGTAAATAAACTAGTATAATAAAAAAGGGGGTAGAATTACTTCCAGACATTGTCAAATGTCCCCTGGAGACAAAATGCCCCATTTACTTCAATGCATGAAGTCCCTGGGAGATGTAAATAAACAGTTAACACAATTGACTGCTATCTGAAGTGTTGGAAGTTCTAGTCCTCCCACTCAGAGGTGCTTCAAGAGAAAAGCTTGGTGATCTACTTTGACCATCCTATGGAATATCTGGACTTGAGCCTATCAGAGATGTGAGGATGGCACAGGACAGGGAAAGACTGAAATCTGTTGTTCATAGGGTCACTCTGAGTCCTAGTCGACTCTATAGCACCTAACAAAACACAGACCTTGGTTCTACTTGGACGCCTACAGGATCATCTTGAGTCAGAATCATCTTGACAGCAACCGATTTTCTACTTCCTTCACTGTGACGATGGCAACTCACAACAGTTTTGATCATGTAAATATATACAGTTGTTGTAAGCAATAGGGTCAGATCCAACCTGAAGCTGCCCTTCCAGTCATTTTTCAGAGGCAGTAAATCACGAGAGGAGATTGTCCATTCTTCTCCTGCAGAGCAGTTGGTGGAGTTGAATTGCAAGCCTTTGGGATTGCAGTGCAGTTTCTTTCCACTAGGCCAACGGAGCTCCCTATAATGTTGCTATGTTATGTTTATGTTATGTTATGTTGTTATGTTACATTATGTTATGATGTTATGTTATGCTATTATGTTTGTTATGTCATTATTAAAAATAAACTATGTCCCCTCCTTTTCTGTCTTCCCTCAACCCTGATGTATTGCACTGAAACAGATGAGGGAGAGAACTGTTTAAAAGGGACATGTGAATGGGTATTCTTGTCATTACAGAAGTCCAAAGTGAAGGCTGCATAGTGGAGTGGACTTGGAGGGGACAGGGACTGAATAACAATGAAAGAGTTTTTCTTTTCAAGGAGAAGAGTGTATTGTGGAAGAGAGGGTGGGCAGGGAGAAAACTGCAACAGTGAATGACTGGAAACCCTAAGTCTCTGTAAACGTTCATTAAAATGAATAAAAATAAAAAAATATGATAAAAACCCCAAACTATATCAACTGAAAAAATAACCCAACACAGTAAGAAGGGAAGGACGTGACAGTGAGGACAAGTAGGTGACTCACGTTGTAGGAGCGGCCATGCCTCTGTCTCCATTGCACCAGCACTATCTGCGCGACGACCAGGGCGCAGAGGAAAATGAGGATCATCTCCACGTGCATGGACTCGTGGCCCCGGTGCGCCTTGTATATCCTCTCCTGCCTAAGGCTGGAACCGGCAAGTGAAACCATCTGAAAAAGCTCTCAGCCGTCATATTTAGCAAAATAACGGTACCAGATTGGACTCACAGGAGGCAATTGGAAGGTTCAAAGATACGGTTTGCTAAACTTTGATGATTAAGTTTTCCCAATTATTTCTTTGTTTATCTCATTCTCCAGACTTGAGGAAAGAGCAGATAAGAGGAGGAGCCTGGCTTACCAGAATTTTCTTCCAACTTTTTGTTTGGCTTGGGCCTTGATGTTGTATTTTTAAGCTAAGTGAAGGAGCCAAAGCCCTATTATTGCCCTAGGAAATGGGGATCTGCATCTGCCACTTTATCACCATGTGACCCTAGAAAGAAAGTCACTTATCTTTTCTGAGCCTCAGAGTTTCTCATTTGCAGATTTAAAATAACAATCTCTCAGGATCTCAGAGGTGATTGTAAAGCTGAAGTATATGTTAATTCATTTATACTTAAATAAAAATAATAATCATCATATTAGGTTGAAAAGTATAAAATCAATAGTTTTTGAAGGTTAAAAACAATAGAATATTGGTAATTTAAAATAATTTCCAATATTTCAAAGTAAAAGGATATACAGTGGATGATATCTACACCAAGGCGAGGGTATTTATTCTACAGTGGGCTATGTGGAAAGCTTCAGAATGAGCTATAGAAATTATTTTCATTAAAGGGAAAAAGATTTGGCACAAGTATTATCTTGGATAAGCACAAACATTCAGCTAATGGGTGATTGTTTCCATTTTGTGGTTGGACTCTCAGTTTTGTGCAGCGGTAAAGAACATCACTAAAATACTGTCTTTTCTGGTTTAAACTTCCTGCAGCAGAAATGGCCTCGAACAAAACCTGGGGCAGTGACTCAACCTTGACTGGGAATGAGAAAATACTGGACAAAACAAACAAACAAAAAACCCAAGCTCACCGCCATCAAGTTGATTCTGATTTATAACGACCAGGCAGCATAGACTAGAACTACCCCACAGAGTTCCCAAGGTGATCATTTTGTGTATTATTACAGGAGTCAAACTGCTGGCCTTCCTATTAGAAGTTGAGCCCTTCACCACCGGGTCACCAGAAATGACCAATTAGCTTTTAAAAGGCCCAGTTCCAAAGCTATATTCACAAACAAAAAAACCCCAAACCAACCGCTGCTGAGTCAGTTTTTACTCACGTCAGCCCTCCATTAGATTTCCAAAGCTGCATATCTTTACTGAAGGAGATTATCCATATTTCATCTCCCTTTGGGGAAGCTAGTGAATTTGAACCACTGACTTTTTGGTTAGCAGTAAAACGTGCTCAGCACTATTCCAGCAGGACTCAACTCCCATTTAAAACCCAAGTCAATTAAATCACAATTTCTGGGGACAAGGCCCCACCATCAGTGATTATTAAAGCTTCCACAAGATCCTCAGGTACAGCCAAGATTGAGAATCACTGACCTGGAGGACGAGAGGTCCAGAATGAAAATAAGGGGAAGGTGAATCTATCAATTAATAATTCACATACTATGAAAGTAAAGAATTTATTTACTATGAAATTTTCTGTCAGCCTTACCACTAATCACAACATATCTGAAAGTTACATTATCACTTATGATTGGTTACAGTATGCAGTTAGCTGGTGTACAGTTACAAAACACTGCAGGATAGCGCTCTAAAACCAGATTGTGCCCTTTTGAAAGACATTCTGGTCTCTGTGCTTTGTGTGTCTCCATTCATTTATTTTTGTGGTCAGCCCAAGATGCAGAAAAGAATCGGTTCTCAGAATGACCCTATCCAAATCCCAAGGGTGCCCCCTGCTGGAAAAGTGTAGAACTGAGTCCACGAACTTTAGGAATAATTTCTAGCTTCACTTCTCTGAGATAGAACCTTGGACAGTCAGGTCTGGAGAGGACCAATGATGTACTCAAACTCCTTCATTTTTCAAATCAAGAAGTTAAAATCCTGATCAGTTAAATGATTTGAATAAAATTACATGATATTAGACTTTATGCTGGAAGATGAGTGTAGGAGACAAGATATTGTTTGTAGAAGCTCATTAAAAAAAGATAATCTTATTCCTCTGAATAAGCAGAAGTGAAGGAAAAAAGAAGATACAAGAACTAAATTAAGGCTTTTACAGCATCCTGTCCAAAATGACTGTTTAATGTTCTATTAAATTAGAAAATACAGATAAAATAATCAACTTATCATTAGCCTGAAACAGGACTTACATTATATTTAAAGCATTCCTGTATAATGTGCATCTAGAATGAAAATAACTTCAAGTGGATTAAGTTATGAAAGTACTTTGAAAATTAGTATAAAAATAGATTAAGTATTCTCTACTTTGAATATGATTATATTCACAATTGTTGACTAGAAAGCAGTAAATGAGGAATTTTTCCTTTTCATTTCATTTTATGTGGTATTCACCCAATGATCCTGCAGTCAGTACTCAACCATGGGAGCACATCAGATAAAGAAAACCAGGTATATTATGTTCCTAAAGCAAGCATTCACTTAATACTCCCGTATTCTGAAGAATAATAAATGCAGCTTTGTGGGATAGTGTGAAACCACGACAGAAAACACAAAGACCACTTGATTTTGGTCTAGTATGTCTTTGTGCACATAATTTCCTCCTCTGTGCTGTCCTTATCCACATGCTCTACATGGGAAATTCACAACTAAGGCAATTTTCAGTCAATTTCTTGAACCATTGAGATTTCAATCTAATTTTTAAGACAGGAGCTATAAAGAATAGCAGTCACTTACTTCCACTCATCATCGGCAGACAGCTTAGTGTTGGAGTGCTGAAAAAATATTTAAAAAAGGTTTATTTTAAACATGTAGAAATCTCATATGACCCAGCTAGTCCATTCCTAGGAATCTATCCCTAAAAATTCAGAACTGATTCACAATTGTACATTTGTACACCTAT